TACACATGCATAAAGCACACACACATATTTCTAGACATATTTATATTTAACTATGAGTTCCTCTTAAGTTTCAATCCCTATCAGTGCCACCCATTCATCTACTTACTTGTTCAATTCTGTCACATTAATATCACAACATGAGAATTGTCAGCTAGTACTCCAATGACTTTATCACCCAGCTCCTTCTGTCTTCGTTAGTTAGTTTGTTTTCAGATAAGATTGTATTATGTGACCGGGGGGTGGTGGCACAGGCCTTTAATCCCAGCACTCTGGAGGCAGAGGCAGGTGAATCTTTGTGAGTTCGAGGCCAGCCTGATCTACAGAACGAGTTCCAGTACAGGCTCCAAAGTTACAGAGAAACCCTGTCCCAAAAATCTAAAAATAAAATAAATAAATAAAAAAGGAAGAGGATTGTACTATGTAACATTGACTGCACTGGAACTCTTGATATATAGACTAGGCTGGTCCTGAACACATGGATATCCATTTGCCTGTCTCCTGAATGCTGGGATTAAAGCCATGTGCCACCATACCCAGCTTTCATTTGTCTTTAATCTCAGAGATTTAATTCATTTCCATAATAACTTAGGTTGGAATCCTCTCCCCTGGCTTTTAGTGAGGCTGTGGAGAAATGAAAGTGATTAGAGGAGGAATTTACACGTTAAAAGTGGTTAGCACACTTGAAGATTGGCACACTTCTATTGTCAAGCTCCTACTACGTGGGAGATTTGGGTAGGGGGATTATAACTTCAACATCAGCCTGCACTTCATGGCAAGACATAAATAAGACTGGGCTCTTGGTGAGACTTGATTCCCCCTCCAACCAAAAAGGGGGGACTGCTACAATGTATATAGAAGTACACTGAAATCATTTTGAAATTTAAAATGACAGTTACTATCATAAAGTATCACACATCAAAAAACAACCATCATAATTTTAAAAAGCCACTTTGGTCTCTATGTAGATAAGGCTGCAGAGACCAGATGTGTTTTCACCTGAAACAGCTCTGGAAACCCAACAAAGGTATGTATCTTAGTTAGGGCTTCTATTGCTGTGAAGAGACACCATGGCCACTCCTATAAAGGAAAACATTTAATGGGGTGACTCACTCATAGTTCAGCGGTTTAGTCCATTATCATCATGGTAGGACAAGGTGGCATGCAGGCAGACATCGTGCTGGAGAAGGAACTGAGAGTTTTATATCTTGATATGCAGGCAACCGGAAGTCGTCTGAGATACTGGGTATGGTTTGAGCATATAGGAAACCTCAAAACCTGCTTCCACAGAGACACACTTCCTCCAACAAGGTCATGCCCACTTCCACAAAGTCCTAGTAGTGTCACTCCCTTTGGGGGGGGCATTTCTTTCAAACCACCACAGTATGTATCAAACAGCCATTTTCTGAGCATGGGTAACGGGCAGGCGAGAGCGGTGATAGTGGTAGCTGTGATATCAGACAGAGAAGCAGTGATATCAGTCATTAGAAGCTGTCTTTGCTAAAAAGAACGAGACAACAGGGTAACGAAAGGAAGGCTGAAAGCCTAGCATTATCTGTTGTCACTTTGTGTCTGTCACCTTACAGTTTAGCCTGCTTAATCTCTGCATGGATCCATGTTAATCACTCTAGGAATACCCATTTAAAACACTTTGAGATACAATCTATCCCATTTTCCTTTAAGGCTGGAGGGACAAAGTTAAGTGAAGTGCCACTGTCCCTAAACCTGAAGTCATCTGGGTTGGAACAGAAGAGTATCAAAGGGTGGGTCACATCCCACATGCAAAAAGTTATCTATGATGGGTAGGCACTACTCGGGAGCCAGAGTGATCATCTTATGGGTACCAGACTGTTCCCTTCAGGCAACAAGAACTGCTTCTGGTCCCCTTGCAGAACCAGAACGGAGATAATGATCACCCAGACCACACTTTGCTGAACTACAAATTCATCTTCGTCTCTGCCTCCAATCCTTTCTCTACTTAATCTTGAAGCTTATATCACTGACCTAAAGATAAAACTTGGGGTCACTGTAACCTTTTATGTGTTCCCCTTCCCAAAGTGTCACACTGATTTAATCTCCTTTGCTTCTCAGCATTTCTTATGTCTTAAATTGGCGTATTGTGACCGGTGAGACAGAGGGCCCATCCTCACGTGCTGGGCCTATTATTATTATATTATTAAGGCAAGGGATTTGCCTTAAAACTCCTGTAGCAATGGGAAAGTCAATGAAGTTTTATACTTGCGGAGCTTATTACCCACAGAGACCATTGTCCAGGGAGGTTGGGAGCTGGGAGCATGAGGTGGGGAAGCGCAGCAGGGATGGAGGGGAGAGCATGCTCAGAGTGAGATCCAGATTGCAGAGTCCACCTGAGGGAGAGCAGGCCAGCAAACCTAAGTGAGTCAGGCGAATACCCCTTAAAAGGGCCTGAGGAGAAATGCCCGGAAGGAGTTTGTGTTCTCACCAGTGCCAGTGGAAAACCTTGGCATGACCAGGGTTTCGGAACAACTGGGAAAAATTCAGGTCAGGATGCTTTATTAGCATAAAAGAAAACTTTCTCTCAGGTGTTGTTTTGGCTAAGTGGGAAATCATGACAAAAGCTCTATAGAGAGAGATTTTTTTTTCTTTTTTAAAACAACCACACCTCTGAGAAGCCATTAGGAGGCAGGACTCACCATTTTCAAATTACTGCCCCAATGAGTTCCAGTCAGCTCCACCCTGGGAAGACACCTGTAGTGACCACCGCAATTTGACAGTTGTATCGTGCTCAGTGGTTCAACTTACAGATCAAGAATTTATCTGACTCTTGCTTTATGGACACTTTTGTCCCGTCGTGACATTGTTTTGTCTACCTTTCGTGAGCCACATAGCCCCTGTTCCTCCTTAGCATCCAGTAGCCTGCGTTAAACTCATCTACCTGCCTCCCTCAGAGCAAGGACTCAGAACTAGAACTCTGTCTCCCGACCTGGAGCTCTGAAACCCCAAAGTCAACCTTTGTTACTTTTGCAGTTTCTGAGTTTAGATTGACACCTGGTAGATGGATAGCACAGGGAAGGGAGAGCAAATGCTTTCTTTCTCCCTTACCAGTTTTAAAAATCCATTGGCAGACTGGAGAGATGGCTCAGCAGTTAAGAGTACTTAGTGCTCTTCCAGAGGGCCTGCGTCTGGTTCCCAGAAACCACATGACAGCTTACAACTGTCTGGAACTCCAGTTCCAAGGGATTTGATGTTCTCCTTGGGGCTCTGTGGACATCAGGCACCAATATAGTGCATAATCATACGTGCTAGCAAAACTCTCGTGTACATAAAAATACAAAGCTGGTTCCGCAGCAGCTCCCAAGGATAGCCAGTTCTTAAATTATGTTTAGAAACACTGGGACTTAAACACACTTCACAGTCTCTTCATCTTGTGATTGTCCCACTAGTCTTCCAATTGTGTCCTTTTTGACGTGAGAAAGTTTCAACAGAGCTTAACATTAAGAATCAGCTTACAATCAATGAGCACCCCCCGGCTGAGGCTCAGAGTGTATCTAAGAACCACTTCCCTCATGCTGGAGTGGAGACTCTCCAAGTAATGGCTGGCGCCAGAGGTGGCACTTTTTTTTTCTTTACGTGAATCTTGGACTCTTTTAAAAAGAAAATATTTTTTAGATGCATACAAAAGAATAGCTTTATTTATGACATTTTCATAAATCCGTACTGTTGGGTTTCATGTACATTTCCCTGTTCTTTGTGGTCCTTATTCTGGAATGCTCTGTTAGTCTTCTTCCTGTTACTGGCTGAATTTAGAGCTGTATCGGAGTTCAGTCCTACATCCAGTCCCTTACATTAAGAATTCTCCAGATAGAGCTATAGAGAAACATTGGCATTTTAAGTGGTGGAGGAACAAGAATAGAACTGCATTTTATAGGTACCAGTTTGACTCAGTATTGGGAATGGAGAGGGTGGCTGGGGAGTGGAGGGCAGTATATATTGCATGTGTGTTTGTGTGTGTGTAATGATGACTATGGTTAGATGTGGGGGAGGGGCTAATTTGAGATATTGTCAGTGGGGTAATAGGGGTTGACTGGCTTAGCAAGAGACTAACCCTTAGATATTGATCGGTGTGTGCATGTGTCCGTGTGTGTCCGTGTGTGTGTGTGTGTGTGTGTGTGTGTGTGTGTGTGTGGTGTGCTGGCGGCTGGCTATCGGGGCAGAGCGAACTTCTGTTTGTGTGATTGTGGTACAGGAGCAGAGGGTTATGGGAATGGGAAGGGAGGGTCTGTAACTCCTGGAAGAGGCCTCTCGCCCCCAGCCTCCATTCTTTTATGAACTGATCTCGGAATAGACGAGGTTGAAAGCATCCTTTATAGGTGATCATTCCCGCTTGCTTACTAGGGGACTTGAATGCCAGCACTCTAGAGTAGCAAGTACTAGAGAAGCCCCTCTGCGGTTAGCCAGTGGTGACAAACACTGCATAGAAACATCCTGATATGAAGCGGGGAGTGGGGTGGTTTCCAAGTGGCAGAGTAGGCACCTTACAAATGCTTTCCAATCGTGGATGAGAAACTATTGATGCACTGAGTAGAATTTTAAAGCGATGAGCAACATGTGAACGAGCTAGTCACTAAGCTATTTCTTCCTTTTGCTGGGCTGGGAAACATTTTGGAAGGTGGCCGGGTTGATAAGTGCAGAAATCGAGCGTGTGGAAGCCATAGGCTAGCGGAAGAAAACTAGAGAGCAGCACAAGTCCACGTCAGCTTCTTCCCCCAAAACAGCCTCCGCCCGGAGCATCTCCCACGCCCCTCGGCAGGCCGCTCTCCAGCTCACTCAGTGCGCGTGCCCAGCACCCAGAGAGGTGTCCCTCCCGCCACCCGCCGCCCGCCCACATTAACCCTCAGGCCCCGCCCCTTCCTCTGGGTCAAGGCGGAGCTTCAAGCGTCGCCCCTGGTGATTGGACGTTGAGCTTCAGATCCCGCGCCTCCCGCTTCGCTCCGCCCTCCACGCCGCAGAGACGCCGAGCTCGGACCCAGGCGAGCGCTAGCCAGGGCGCACGTCAGCGCGCGCCCGGAGCCCCGCGCGCAGGCCCCGCCCCTTCCCCTGCTCCGTCCCGCCCCCAGCCTCTGGGCTCAGGCTCGGTTCTGGGGCTCTCGCTCAGCAGCTGGGCATCCGCGCTTCGCGGCCATGGAGATTCCTGGGAGTCTGTGCAAGAAAGTCAAGCTGAGCAACAACGCGCAGAACTGGGTGAGTGGAGGCCGCGGGCGGGAGCGCGAGGAGCGGGGTCGACTGTGGGAGCCAGTGCATCCTGTGGGAGCCGGGGGCGGGGACCCGGGCGGCGGCGGCGGCCCGCGGAGGCTAGCCCGGGCCAGGCTGGCGAGGCCGAGGGCTGCTGCAGAGACGGAGTAAGGCGCCTCTGCACGATCCTCATTTTCTCGGCTCTGCCCGTGGGCTTGGGCCGGCTTGGGTCGGTGTCCACGTCTTTGCATCTCTGAGTTGCAGTGTGCTAGGAGCATATCCAACAATGTGGCCATTCATGCATCGGGACTGCACGGAACTGAGGTTCTTTGTGTCTCTGTTTTAAATCGGAATGCCTGACACAGACATACTTTTAAAGACTCTATTCCCGGTGACAGTTAGGTGTGGGAAGATTAATGGGTTCTAACATGGAGCAGCGAGTGCCAGTTGGCCTTATTGGCCAAGTACTGTACCCTCAGAAGGTTGTTTTCTTCATTGGTGGCAGCAGCTAAGATGGTAAGCGCGAAGGTGGAGACCGTCCAACTTTGGAGGCTGCAAAGGGCACTGGTTTTAGATTTAGATGGAATTTTTTATTCCACAGCTAACAGGATGACGGGGTTTAAATTCAGTCTTGCAAATCATCACTTGCCCTTGGCAAGTCATGGGGGAAGAAAAACGCTGTTACAGGCGAATGTTCTTTCGAAGTCATTAATTTACCCTGTCTGCTGTCGGGATCAAGAATTCTTACTGTCTCCCTTCATTCTTTTCCTTAACTTCTTAGAAGGCGAAGAGGGACGGGAGATTAAAGGGAGATGAGGGTATTGGAAGGAGACCCGGACTTCTGGCATGGGCTCCAGTCCCAGCCTTGCCTTTTGTAAGCTGGACAATCTTGAGCAGAGTCACCCTGCTTTGAATCTCGGATGACTGAGGGTGTGACAGTGTGACCTTTTCAGGATTATTTTCATGAGTAGAGAAGATAATGAACTTGAAAGGGCAATGAAACCTTTCAACAGGTATTTTATGGGCAGGGAAGTAAGTTGATTAAATCGGAGTATTTAAAAATGATTTCAGTAACACTGTTTACAAGTCATTTATTTACTTAAAATTTATGTTATTATTTATGTATCTGAGCGTTTTGTCTGTCTGTCTGTACATGCACCATGTGTGTGCCTGGTGTCCAGTGAGGTCAGAAGGGGGTGTTGGATCCCCTCAGACTGGAATTACAGATGGTTGTGAGCCACGTGTGGGTGCTGGGAATTGAGCACAGATCCTCTGCAAGTACAAGTCCTCTTAAGCACTGAGCCAATTCTCCAGCCCCAAGTCATTTATATATATTACACTGTTTGCTAAATGAGTGTGTTTTATATGTAGTGATCCATTCCTGACGTGGGTGGATATATATAAACCACGTGGGGCTTAGTGCAGTTGCCCAGGGCAACTGATTGTAAGTGACATTTATCCCCTGATAGGTTTTCATGGACCACAGTGAGTGGCCCAAGATATGAGTTTTATTGCAGGATTAGAAGCGATGTTAGTTTGGCCCCAGGTGATTTTATAAGTTTATGGAGGACCTCATATTTCTGAGGTGGGTGGGAGCCATTAGGTCTCTGAGTGGAGACTTGCTTGACTCCTGCAGGGAGTTTTTGTTGGGGAACAGAGATAGCGATGGGTGGAACAGGTCCGTGTCCTGTCAATGTTTAGCTACAGAGTTAGGATGGTTTTATAGGATTGAATGGAGCTAGAATTGTTATCTTTCTGAACTTTTGTCTTTTCTCTCTGTAAATGGAGAGCGTCCTCCAACACACTTAACTCAATGGCTGGGTGCATGTGTAAAGAAGTTGTATCCGGTTACTGCTCCCGTTACATAAAACTGATAATCCAGGAAGACTGCTTTACAGGAGAAATGCAGGCACTGGCTGCATGATAGTGAGGATCAAGGAGACGAGAAGCATGCTTGACACAGGTGTTTTTGTCACTGGTTGATCCAGTGTGAACGGATGAACGGCAGGCTGGAAGGAGCAAAGAAAGGCCAGGGAAGACCAGACTAGACCGAGAGACGGAAAGGAGAGAAATGGTCAAAGGAGGTCCTGGAGCTTTGATTTGAGATGGTTGACATGTTGTCTCTAAGTTAACGTTTGAGTTTTTGTGATGTTTGCTTGGGTGGGATGTAAACACAAGGACCCTGATTGAGTGTGATGGTGAACATCTGCCACCCCAGAGCTCAGGCTCAGCACACTTAGCATCTCCGTTTTATTAATGTAGAAATTGAGATGCTGAGTTATTAGGCTGTCAGTTGGGATTTTAAGCCTGTATTTGAAGGACAGCCTTAGTTGAAATATGTTGTAGAGTAATTCTAAGAGAAATCAAACCACCTGTGTAACAACAACAAAAATTAAAGGCCATGTTAAAATAAGTGGAAAATATAAAAATACAAAATGAATGCCAAATATAACCCAAATATTTTCATTTAATATATTTTCTTTTCTTTTCTTTTCTTTTCTTTCTTTCCTTCTTTCTTTCTTTCTTCTTCTTTTTTTTTATTTGAGACAAGGTTTTTCTGTAGCTTTGGTGCTTGTTTTGGAACTAGCTCCTATAGACCAGGCTGGCCTCCAACTCACAGAGATCCGCCTGCCTCTGCCTTCCAAGTGCTGGGATTAAAGGTGTGCGCCACCACTGCTCAGCTCATTTAATATATTTTTCAATAAACATACATCAGTGCTGTTTGTAATCAATGTAAAATTGCTGATGTTTTGCCTTCTTTGTGCCTAGGATCTAAAGAGTGATTTATCACACATCTTAGTTCAGGGTAGACACTTTGCACCTGCTCCCTGGGCCCTGTGCACACCGCTGTCACAGGCGTTGAGTTAGGTTAGGCTGGAAGTAAAGACCTAATGGCTAACTTGAGTAGGACATAGAAAAGACGTTAATGAACGCGTTGGAGTAGATTCTAGTCTTCTGCGAGGGATGGGTAAAAGAAGTGGGTTCATGGAAGACAACGAGTAGGAGATAGGAAAATGTAGTTCCGTGATCCCAGGAAGTGCATTGTTAGATGTCACCACCTACCCACAGTGTAGGAAAGAGCAGTCAAGAGTCTGGTTTCCACAGGAACCCCCTTCGGGGTCAGTCTGAAGTGTAAGGAATATCTATTGGTCTTAGCTGAGTCAGTCTTTCTAGCATGGGGTCACTTTCCATCTGCCCTTTGTAATGTGTCACTTGCGGTCGCTCATTTGAGACTGAGGTGTCACCCACCCTTAGAATCATGTCCAGCTGAATGCCCTGCTTGGGTTAGCTCTGTGGTGGACTGGGTTGTCCAAAGCAGCCATCTAGTTCAGAGACAAGTCTGAAATCCCAGCATGAGATTCTGAAGCATAGATAGTCTCATTCTGGGTTTTCTGTTTTCTTCTCCCTCTCCCTGTACCTCTGTAACTCAGCACAACTTCCTCTTTACACCTCACATCCTTAGGATTTTATATTTCCTCCTGCCTGGGCTGTCTACAACCCTTTAGCGAGGACTGGGCTCTTCAGAGCCTTGGGCTATTTTGCCTTAAGTGTGTATGCCTCTTACATACACTTGCTCCTGGGTTGAGTTGCTTGTCGAGCCCTTCATGCGGCACTGCTACCCTGTCTGTGTGGACATATTTCGTTAGAGATGCTTCATAGTCACTGAGCTCTTACGTGGCAGGAAGGGCAGAGGGGTAGAGTGTGGAGAAACCTGGGTGCTTGTGAGACTATAAATCCCTAGTCTGTTTGAGGGAATGCACGACGTGTGTGGTAGGATTCAGATAGCGATTCTGTCCTCTAACCATCTGCGAGATCATGGGCACATCTCCTTAACCCCCTGTGCGTCAGCATTCTCATCTGTAGTAAGGGTCATTAAACAACCATCACCGTCAGGTTGAATTATGCTTATGTCAGGGTCCAGAGGTTTAGTTAGTTAAAAGTTAAGGCTCTGTGGTTCCCGACACATGAGTACTATTCTAGTGGCTACTTATTAATTAATCAAATGTTTAACACCTGCTTTGTATATGCATGCCTGGATGTGCAGAGGAAGGGGTGCCGGAAGGGATTCTGCTCTGGTGGATTTTACCTTCTACTCAGGAGACAAACAGCCAAATAAATGACTGAGATAATTCCTCCTCTCACCACCTTTACATCTGACAGTCTGTTCTCCTTTGGTAGAAGGCATGCAGCCCAGTCTGCAGTTGGGGGAAGACTAAGATGGTCCAGAATGACTCAGGCTGAGGTGGGACATGTAGAACCTCATCCTCCATTAAGACTGGGACAGATACTGGTCCTCTTACCCTCCAAGTCTGGGAGCGGATGCTCCAGGAAGTGCCCAGAAGATAGGAAAAGCTCAGATGGTACCAAGGAACATTCTTTCAGTGCTGACTGATGGGCTTTGTGTAAATATCCTCCGAAGGCCCGTGTGGTAAAGCCTGGTTACCAGCCTGTGTGCTGTTGGTAGGTGGTAGAACCTTTAAAAGGTTCTAGTGGGAGGAAGTCTGGTCTTTGGGGACGTTCATGAAGGGGCGGTTGGACTCCTGCCCGCGTCTGTTACTTCCCAGCTGCTGTGTGGTGAGCATCTTGTTCCTCATGTCCTCACTATCACAAGATTTTGCCTTACAACAGTGCCCAAGGCAGCTGGGCAGGGACCGCGGCCTGAAACTCCTGAGTCTGTCTTGCTGTTTTGTTCTCATCATGGGAAGCTTATTAATGTAAAGCCTAGAAGGGTCTTTGTTGTCTAGTACGGTAGCCACCAGCCACGCAGGGCAACTTTATCGTTAAATAAAATAAAGTCAGTGCCTTGGTTGTACTAACCACATATTTTAAGTGATCATTACACTTACCACGCTTTTCTGCCTGATTCATTTTCAATGTAGCAGGCAAGAAATCACCAGAGTACACCCTTTTTAGTGATTAGATAAGATAGCCTCTGTGTTTTCTCTCATTCGTAACTTCAGCAGTTTATAGTATACAGCTGAGCTTAATTTAGTAAGAAAAAAACAAGA